GCAATGACGAAAGAACTACTCTTGAGCACCAACTTCAACTATACATTGACAATGTCCAACATGATGAATTATTTGCTAATTTGAAAGGTATATCCGAGCTCGGTAGAGTGATGATTGAAACAAGGAAACATCTTGTGTTTCCTTTGGTTTATCGATTATTGAAGCTTGCATTGGTTTTGCCTATTGCAACCGCAACAATTGAGAGATGTTTTTCTGTAATGAAGCTTGTGAAGCCAGCTTTGTGCAATCGAATTTGTGACGATTTTTTGAATGCGTGTGCCATTTGTGCCGTAGAAAAAGAAATATTTGCTAAGGTTACAAATCAAGATGTAATGACACGTTTTCAAATGATGAAAACTCGTAGAAATCAACTTATGTAATCACGTATTATTAATTATAATGATTGATGTGTTGGTATATTGTTAGTTTAAGTGACCCCAGTGTATAAAATTCCTGGATCCGCCACGGCTTCTATAAGTCTAGTTTCACATAATGGTTACTATTAACGTATCTAATCGCAAAAGCAACATGTTGATATCATGGTGGGGGAGTAAACCTAAGCGGTACATTACACAGTCTATAATGTCTCAAACATGTAATATTACATTATACTTTTAAATAATCAGAACACTTATTTTAGACATTGCCATCTAGTGTTCAATCGAAACATTTTGATTTGATTGAAAAAAGTTTAAAGAGTTATAAACTATATATCAATATTGACTTTCAAATATGTTAAAATATTATGTTTTGTGTTTGTCTAAGACTCTAAGGGGCCGTTTACCAAACACTTACCCGGTAAGTGCTTACCGGTAAAGTTTAACATTATCATTTACTTATCGTGTAAGATTTTAGTTCATCAAAACGTATCGTATGCAATAATTTATCCGGTAAGTCCTTACCATGGTAAGAGTCATCGCCCTCACTTACGGGTTAAGACTCTTGATCTTTGTCTCGCTCTTACCGGGTAAGATTATTGGTCTTTACCATATTCATCCAATAAGGTAATGTGACTTGGTGTTCACTTACCCGAGTAAGCGTTTGGTAAACGAACCCATGTGAGAAGATATAATGAAGAAAAGGTGAAAAGGATGTAATAAATAAGAAATGGTATATCTATATTATATTATAAAGCATTTGACAAAAACTCTTAAAAACCATTTTTTATGCATAAAGTACTGTTTATTAATGCATAGTACTTAAAACTCAATATTACAAGTAGATTGTGCATAAGTACAACTTATTAAAGCTTCATATCTTAGTTCGTGTAACTAACTGCAGATAAACATAATCAAATACATGATAAACATCTCATTTTAAATATAAAAAATCTAAAATTCAATTAGGATAATCATTAAGTTCTAACAGAATACTTAATTATTATCTTTATAAAATGTTATATTATTAAACCAAAAATAAATTATTTCATCATTAAACTTAAATTAAATTATAATAAAAAAATAAAATTACATACAAAATGAAAACTTTTAAATAGTTGGCTTGATATTAACATTGATATATTTTTTTTTCAAATTTATATTTTATTCAAAAACAAAATCATTATTGTTTTCTTAAAAACACATAAAATCGTATTATTAAATCGACAAAGACAAATAATAAAATATAATATTAAAATCGAGATGTATCTTGCTACATTGCACGAGTGCTCTTCTAATATAAATTAGTATATATATATATATATATATATAATTTGAGTCGATTTATCCTCCAATTAGATTCTTGATTTCAGATCCACGATTTCATCTGGATACCCTGTTTGGCTCAATCTTCAACACGCCAACTACTTGTACCATTTGACTAATAACTTCTCTCTCCATCACAACCGTTGAATTTTTCTCTACATAATCCATTAATCTATGCGGATCTCCTCTTCATCCCCTCTGATTAAACCATGTCGCCGGCGACGGTGGCGATTTTCATAAACCCACCACCACTTTTTAACCTATTTCATAGCATTCATCGAAAACCCCTCTTTTCGAGTCCTGCTTTTCGTACTTTGAAACAATCTGCAATTGTTTATCGGAAGTCTATTAGTGTCAAAAAACCAATGGCAGCGGAGTCGATTGAGACTGGGATCGGCGGTGATGAACGTATTAGTCCTGCGGTTTCTGCTTTTGAACAGGAAGTTTTGATTGATAATGGTGGTGTTTCATTTCATCAAACAGCTGGTGGGCTACACACCATTCTTAATAGTTTGGTTGGTATTTTTTAATTCTCGATATTCTGAATGGATTTCGCTAGCCATTTGTGTTTCTTTCCTGATCATGAACACTAAATCAACACTTCAAAATTCTACGATCCCCTCCCTTCTTCCCCATATCGATCAGATTGATCCATTTTTGGTGCCATTTTTCTAACTTCATCATTCTTGCACATTGATATGGTGAATTCTTATGTTTTTTCTTGAAATTCATCGAATTGATTGCAGAGTAGATGGATTGTTGCTGCAACTTTTGGTGGGGTTCTTCTTTTGAGGCATGATGCTTTTGCATTTTGGGCTGCATTAGGGTCTGTTTTGAATGCTATACTATCCATCACTTTGAAACAGGTCTTGAAACAAGAACGACCAGTTCCTGATGTGAGTTCAGGCCATGGAATGCCATCTTCACATGCCCAATCCATCTTTTTCGCTACCGTATTAGTTATATTTTCGGGTAACGATCTTTTCAATTTGTGCATATTCAAACTTTCCATCAAGATTTTGGTTATGAGCAACATTTAGGATCTTAAATCCATATGAGTTACACTGAACTTCCAATTCGTGTTTGTTATGCTCGTTATAACAGTGGTCGAATGGCATGGATTTAATGGCGTTACAGCTTTCTTTAGCGTGCTTGTGATAGCGCTTGGATCATACTTTGTAAGTATCCATGCACCCTTATCATTATTTCTTCGATTACTCTAACGGCTATGTTGGGTAAATTAGTTGATAATATACCCGACGAACGGTAGTCTAGTCATGCTTGGCGAAAACTTGTTGATAAGGTGGTTGATTATGTAAAGTTAATTAAAAGAACATGTTGGAAAATTAATTGGAAAATATAAGGGGCGTAATTGAAAAAATTGGAAAAAAGTTCTTGTATAACGTTGCTTGAAATAGATTTTTGAAAAGCTATAATGCTAGATCATGGCTACTCAATCTAGATCATGGTTCTAAACAACTTGTTACGGCACGATATGGCGTCAAGAATTGGCTTCGCCGCCATGTTAATCCATGTAGCTCCACTCTAAGGCTCGGTTTGCATTGTAACGCGTTACGACGTGTTATTTTGTAATGTGTGGGTTTTTTTTATATAACTTGAGGGATAAATAATAATTATGTATGAAACCTAAAACTTAAATAAACATAAAAAGAGAACTTAAGAACTAAAACCTAAATATGTAAATACTTACTTCCAATCCTGTACACGAAGAGTCGAACATGAATTCTTTGAAATTGAAGAAAACGGTGAGTAGATATCAGGAGATTTAATCCTAATTTTGCACTCTTGATATCATTTTTAATAAGCTTTATATATTTGGTATCTATGATTTTTCTTTCCTTTTCAGTTTTATTATTTTTTATGAATTTAATTTGTTCTACAATCTCATTCACAACACTAAACATGCACAAGTGTGTGTATATATAGAGAGAGAAGGTCAGGGGAACCCAAAAAAAATGAAAAACTGAGGAACACCATCCTGGTAATTATCCATCTGGATAGTGTGGACACATGCATACAAGTAATTGAAGATGTTTATTGGTTTTTATGCACGTGTGCATGTTATGTACAGGTGCATATCGGGCAAATTGATTACAAGTTATTTGTATGTACATTTGTATATCGTCCAGATGAACGATTACCAGGGTATTCCTCAGTTTTTCATTTTTCCTTTTTCCAGTTTTCCCTTAACTTCGTATGTGTGCCGCCTTAGGGACGTTGAGCCTCGCCATAACTCATAAGGCATTATGATCTCGCCACCCCGCCAAACCAAGCCACGCCATGCCTTATGTCATTTAGAATCTTGATCTAGATTGATGGTTTATACTTCAAATTTACCAACTACATTCTAATATGTTATTTATGCAGTCATGGCTACGGGTGTTACTATGTTATCATACTACTAGCCAAGTGGTTGTGGGCGCAATCGTGGGGTCCATCTTTTCAGTGTTATGGTTTTGGGCTTGGGAAGCGATGGTTCATAAGGCATACAACTCGAATTTGTGGGTTCGAGTCCTTGTTACTGTTGGAGCTACATGTTTCTGTCTAGGGTTTATCTCGCATGTTTTTCAGCATTGGATAAAATCCGAACATTGATGATCTACATTTTTCGAAATAATCCAAGGGTAGTAGTAGTAGTAGTAGTAATGCAGTTATCTTACTCCCATCGAACTTTCATTTTTTGATATAATTGTAATATCGTGTTTAAATAGGTTTTATCTGAATTGATATTCTGATTGACGAAGTTAAGATTTGATTCCTTTTTTAATGACAATTTAAAAGATAGTTCAATAATTGGCCTATGTCATATTTAACTATAAATCTATATATATTAAAAGAAAACCCATGAAGAATGAGGTGACACATCTTAATGCTTAGAATTTCTTTTATCTTTTTTCTCAATTTTTTGATTTTTTTAAATGTTGAATATATTAAAGATTTTTTCACATCTATATGAAAAATGTGTAGTTCATTATTAACGTGGGTTTTTTTTTGTAATTTTGTATACCCAAGTTTAATTTCCAACTCTTATTTGCTCTTCCATTTACTTTCTTTTATGTCTTAATGAAATTTGTTTTTCAAAGTTTCAATAATAAACAAAATGAAATCCTCAAATATTGTTGGATTTGTTGTTATCATTGGACATGGTTGTGTTTACGATTGGATTATATAAATTCGAATAAAGTTTTGATATTTTGTGATTACAAGATTTGATAAAATAATCGAATTTAAACTCCGATGACAATAACTGTTTATACGTGATTGATAATTACGTTAATTTTTACTATTTCAAGATTTTTCTATTGACATTAATATCTTACTTCAATAAAACATTTTATTTTTTTATTGATAATAATATATAAAGCAAAGTTAAATCCCAAGTTCAATGAAAGACTATATTTCATATTTTTAATTTTCCCTATTTTTTATGTATTTTTAAATGATTTCATCACATTAATCGTAAAACCTTTTTATTTTTCTATCTAATTTAAATCAAAATATGACGATCAATGTATAATGAATATATTATCAAAATCAAAATTTCATCATTCATATTTATCATTTTTGTAAGACCCGAATTTTAAAAACATTCTCGTTAGCTTACCGAATTGTACCGTAGTTATAATAACGATAAATAATTGTTAAGGGGTTAAAATCGTGAAATTACTAAACTTCTTATAATTATATATATATATATATATATATATATATATAAACTCTTAAAAATTATCATGAACACTTGAGTTTAGTCTGTTGAATTATATGTTTTAATCTTTCAAGTTTGTTAAATTAATTGTCATATTTTAAAGTAGTTTTGAGTTTATGAAGTATCTTGAAGTTTGACTTTTTATGAGCATCATCCGGACAGTGGCACATGTTTAGTTTTCTTGGTTTTCAACATCTCTCAATTGATGGACACATTAGTTGGGATGTCTTCTATGGCAGATTTGTAGTCATAGCGTCCTACAGGTGAACTTGGTCCACAAGGCCCAATAGTGGCTTATGTGAACCCACTTTGTGGACTAGGCCGATTTTATTGGCTCCAAGGCGGATGAATCAATCCTAGGATTACCCACCATGTGACCGTGGTTAAATTCACTAGGGACTTGGGTTGTGTGCCGGCATGTCGGCCAAATAGTTCGTATGGTTTGCCCACCCCATGAATATTACAGAAATTGACATATTTTGTTTATATCTATATTTGAAATGAGAATTGTGAAACGTCTTGATTTTCTATGAATTGAATTGTAAGTTTTCCGCTTTATTATCGATGTTACGTATTATTATTTCAAATTTATATTATAATCTATTCACCGAGCCTCATGCTCAACCGTGTTCTTGTTTTCAGACACAGCAGGTTCCAAGTGATATTGATAGGGACGAGACTTGAAATCGAGAACTTTTGGAGTTTATAAACTCGTTTGTAGATGTTAATATACTAAGCTTATAAATAGTTGTTAGAATGTAATATTTTGAGTTGTAAAGCATGCTTTAAAAGTTATAATCAATGTTTAGAGTTTATTAATAACTCTGTAATGTTTGTGTCTTTGAATCAAGTCATGTTAGTGACACCGCCTGTTCAAGACCACGTGGACGGAAAATGTTACAAATGTGATATCAGAACATAGGTTTTGACTTATAGATTAAATAGGCTTGACTTGCGAGGAATGGATACCCTTTACTTCTTTTCTTTTTTCTGGTTAATAATTGAAAACTCTATAAGATATATTGGAAGCACATATAGTTTTATGAATTTCATTCAGATACCCATTTTCCAGGGGTTGATGAAATGAGTTGTGATTTTTGATAGGAGATGATGGATTGGCATCCTCCCTCTCTCTCTGTTTTGAAAAACTTTACAACAAAAACAAAGTATTTGAAAGAGGAATCAAAGGATTTTTACTTGCTTCACCCCCATGAATCACATGGAATAAATTCAAACAACAATCGTCACCGCCACCGCGACCACTACCGCTCTTCCGAGTTGAATTTGTTCCATGCTTCCTACACACAATGCCAACATCAAATCACGTTAAATTGCCATCATCGAGTTTGGCACCCTAAACAAACTGCAACAAAGGCGAGGATGGTGTGAACAATGTTATACAAGATGTTATAAGATCCATTGAGAGTTGCACTCCGCTCATCGACCGCAAAGCCTAAATTTTTGTCTGGTTCATGTAGAGCAAACATGTTGTACCAATCCCATAGACTAGTTGAGTCAAATGTGTTAAGACTCTGCCATCTCAAAAACTAAAGGGAAAAATGCAATGATATAGCAATAGAGCTACTTAAATACACTAAACTACTAAAATGTAACAACCCATCCCACATGGATAGAAAATTATATTTTTTTGTGTGTTTGGTACACTGGACATGACATAACAGAACATGGATCTATGTTCCATGTTTGGAAAAACTTTTATGTGAAACAGACAGGAACAGACTACATAGTAGAACAAAGGAGAAATAGACCTATATTTTACCAATATAACCTTAAAATAGAACCTAATTTTTCTTCTAAAACATCAAATACACCTTACTCTTTACATTTTATTCATTCTTTAAATTTTATTTGTCTTTTTATGTTTTTTAAACCTTCAGTTTGCTGTCTTCAAAATAATATTTTTATATAGTTTCTGTATTTTGATTAATTTATGTAATTTATTAAATATTAATAAAAAATAATATAGAAAAGGTATAAAATAGAATTGGAAACTACATAAGTTTTTGATTTTGGTGTCACTTTAATCAGCTTGACGAAAACTATCTAATGATATATTATGTTATAAAAAGCATTTATTTTATTATAATTTAATAAATTACATAAATCAATCAAAATATATAAACAATTCATTAGAAGTAAATTGGTCGTTTTATTCGTTCTGTCAGGTCCATTTTTGTCTTACCAAACTCTAAATAGTTGTCCTCTTATGTCCTACCTTGTCTGGATACCAAACGCACCCTAAAGGTACATAGATTTCTACGATTCACACTCAATGACCGTCGGATCACTAAGGCCGACTTTCGTCCCTGCTCGACGGGTGGGTATCATCTCCACCCCGTAGGAACTACAAGATTACCCCAAGGACGCCTTCAAAACATCTCAGAGATAGATAGAGAGGTAGGAATTTATCGAACGAACCGCACTCCTTCGTATACGTCAGGAGCCATCCCTGCCCCCCTCACGTCAATCCCAAATTATCTATCGAGCCGTGAAAAAGATTCAACAAAAGGAAGTGGTAAAATCTCCATTGGGCAAGGATGCTAACAAAGAGGCAAATCCAAAGGCAGAGTTGTTCTTAGCTACTATCTAAAAGGTGTGACGCTGCTATGGATACATGAAAACACATAACGGATAACTGGAAATTATGGGATCAAAGTCTAACAATCAACGATAATTATTGAATTGACTTCAAATGACGAGCATGGTAATCGAAAACAAATGTTATAGCCTTAGTTGGAAATAAGGTTTTGTGATTGAATTAGCTTGTAAATCATCAAATTAGAAGATGAAAAACCAACAAAAACAGAAAGAGTATGCAGTGACCAACCTTGAGAAGATCAAAAACCTTTTCACAAATATACTTTTGCTGAATTGTTGCACCACGCTGTTGCAGTTTGTCAGGATGGACGCAAAGAGTGGCTTTTCTGTAAGCCCTTTTTACAGCAGCAGTAGTAATAACTTCGGTTAATGGAACTGGCTGCCAACCACTTTCCGACCCAAGAATCTGAAAATTAACAAATCTGATGTTAGAAAATTGAATTGAATCAACAAGTGAATTGTATCAGTCACCTGACTACAGAAGATGGTCTTTTGTTTCTTAAAAGAATGCACCAAGTGTCATGAGCCTACATATACGGTATTAGAAACTCGTGTGTAAAATATACTCCTTCGTCCCAAAACAAATGTCCATAATGAAAAAGGTATACAGTTTTATGTGCGTGTTTGGTATGCAAACGGGACTGGATCACTGGACAGGCAAGAATGAGGCAGGTGGGTGAATGAATTCGACAAAGTTTTACGATTTTAATTTGACATGGTCAGTTTAATAATTTATCAATTTTGTCTCGTCTTCTTGATTTTCGTTCCACCTATTTTGGTGGGACGATAAAATGCATTTTGTCCCACTCAGTCCTCTCCTGCCCCAGTCTTAATGTCGCACCAAACATGGGACAAAGTTTTTGTCTTATGTACCAGGCGCACCCTTAAATGTGCAAGTATTACATTGTTCACTTAACTAAATGACAATTTTACCCTTAATAATAGGAGTAATGAATTTCTCCTTCTCATAGCTAAGAGTAGAATTGGAAAGTAGGCACAGGACACTTATTTTGTGACAAGCTAATATAGAAATCTGGACACTTATTTTGCGACAGAGCGTGTAGCAAAAGCCATGCATATATCATCACATACTCAGCTTAAGGTAGATAGCAACAACGATACATACATATTGTAATGTTGAAAGCAATGCACGCAGATTGCCCTGTTTCCCGCTACACCATCTTTTTACTTCAGCATCAAGACCTTCGGCCAATCTCTGAAAATCACATACACACATATGTAAGAAAATCATGCCAAAGCTGCACAGTTTCAAGACTTACTCCAGGTAAAAAATATTTACGTTTCTCTCTGCTTGTTCTTTTTGAGCAACAAGATCCCTCATATTCTTCTCCGCCAGAGCTTTTGCCTAGAGGATATCCGAAAGTTAGCTCAAAGGAAAGACTATAAAAAAGAAGCCAAGAATAAAAAAGAAGAGAGAACATACTGCACGGTCAGCTGTTCTCTGATGCCTCTCCAAACGAGCTTTACACCGCTGTGGTGATTCACCTTCATCTCCTATCATAATATGCAAAAAATGTCACCATATGGAGAACAAACATTTGAAAAGAAGAGCCTTTTTAGGACCAAGAACTACTGTTTCTCCTTTTGGTTCACATATAACGCACCGTTTTGTGCTGCAGTCTGAGAATATTTTAATCCACTGTAAGACCCAGCTTTCTGAAATTGCGACTCCGGCAGATCCTGCCATTTACCATCCAATTAGTCAGGATGCACCTAAGATATAGAATGGTCAATATAAGAAGTTAGAAGTAATAGATGCTCACAGAGGATAAAGAATTTTGTCTCATTGTGCTACTTTTAGAAGCAGAAAATTTATCACCAACTGATCTTTCTGCTCTTTCTCGTGCCTCTGCGGTTGCTTTTTCGACTCTAAGCCTCCCCTCCATTGCCTTTTCAGCTAGCGACCTTTCCCTAGCCTCGGCACATGCTTTTTCTAATCTTTCTCGAGCCTCTGCCAGGGCTCGTTGCCGGAACTCTGCAGTTGCTCTATCCACAGCAGCTCTTTCAGCTCTCTCCCTGGTTTCAGCAAATGCCCTTTCACGAGCTTCAAGGGTAGCTCTATCAACGGCCATCCGATCTTTCTCTCTTTCTATTTGTCTCTCTCTCTCTTCTTCTATTTTCCTAAGGCGCTCATTTTCTAGCTCTCTTTCTCTCTGCAACTTTTCCTCCTTTTCCCTGTCCTCTGAAACGGCCTTGTTACGAATCTCGTCCTTCCGTTCCATGCTTCTGCCTGCAACCTTTGAAGCAGCATTGTTTGTATTTCTTAAAGAGTCAACTTGATCAGATAGAGGCTTAGTTTCAGCTTCGACCCACTCCTTGGCAACTTGAGGGTAGGTAGTTGTATTTGTTCTTCCATCAGGGTGAACATTCGTCCTTTTGCCTTCATGATTATGAGTGAAATTAATGGAATTCTTCGATTCGAAAGTTCTCTTATCATTCCCCATTGGTGTTTGTCCAACGACATTGACGCCATATATTTTTCCTGCACTTTCTATCGAAGAAATTGAGCTTGGAACACCTGCTACTCTTACTTCAACCTTTACACCTTGCATGTCGCTTTGGTTTAAGCCAGATGAGGAAAACGAGTCTTCACCCACCTCATGTATTTGATCAACAGTTCCTTCTACCTTCTCATTGTGTCCATTGCTCCTTGGCTTCCCATTCTTCACAGTGAAAAGGGTTTCCGGGGTAACTTCATTTCTTTCACTAGGAATATCCTGTTGAACATCTTCAGTAGCTTCTAAGATCTCATTATCATCCGCTTGGTATACCACATCTGATGCCTCTGAATTCTCCCCTGTGGTTGATTCATTTTCTTCATTCGAGCTTAGCCTCTTATTATCGTCATCCCACTTGATACCCTCCTGTTCCTTCTCAATACCATCATTTTCGGAAACAGCTTCCTTCCCTGCCTTACTTTCTTCTCTTTCATTGTCGTTCAGTAATATTCTATTTCCTACTGAATTGCAATCAATTCCATGGCTTGTGTCAGTATTTTCATTTGCGGCAGCATGATTTAGTGTCTGCACATTATCATCTTTTGCACAAGCTTTTTCCTTCTCTTTTACCTTTTCGTCCTGCTCAATAGCCTCTTCTGCTTTTATCTTATCTTCGTTCTGCATAAAATCTTCCTGCAATATTTCCTCAATGTGATCCGGTGTTTGCTCCTTTTTGTACTGCTCCTGCTCAGAAACGGTTTCTGATATCTTATCGCTCTCTTCTGACCACTGCTCAGAAGCATTTACTGGCATCTTCTCATCATCTTCCCAACAGAAAGGATCTTTAACTATTCTCTCGGTGCCTTCTTCATGATCCTCTTCTTTACTCTGAATTATTGCTATTTCAGGAGGGACCAGTTGCTGAGCCTCTTTTTCATCCTGCACTTCGGTCTCCTTTAGACCCCTCTCATGTTCTTTCTCAGTAGTATCGTGAAATCCAACATCCAAATCTTCCCAGTCATAAGGATCTGATCCCATGCCAAGTGCTTTCCTCTCGTTATCATTTTTAAGTAGATTCTCAATAACTACTTTCTCGTTAGCTCCTACTAGTTTTATCCCAGTTTCCATATCATTATCTTTTAGCTGAATTTCTATTAGGTTCTCATACAATTCACTGTCATCAGCATCACTTAGTGCCTTAATTTCTCCATGCTGCTGGCTAACAAAAAACTTTTTTTCCATCTCTCTTGGTTGGCAGGTTTTCTGAGCTATAGTAGGTTCCTTTAGGTGCTCTTCTTCCCTGTGAGAGCTATCAAGTGTTTCTTTTGTCTTGTCGTTCTCCACCAAAGGCTCTCTTTCTTGTTGATTCTTACCATCTTCCGTCTGGTGAAAAGATTCAAGGACGACCTTGTTATTCTGTTTGAACCCCCTGGACCTGGCATCTGGCTCCAAAATCCCTGCATCCTTAACCTGCCTCCTCACAACATTTTCAAAAGGTTGTGTTACCTCTCTTGATGCAACAGTTCCTTTAGTCTCATCCAATACTAGATGCATCTTGTGTTCCTTTTCGGTCTTTCTCTCAATGGGTTTTCCACCTTCAGTTTTATTCCTTTCCCCATCTACAGAACCTTTCACATCCTTGATTATTTTTATGTTTTGGCTTTCCTCTCTTACATCAAGTCTTGTTCTAGTACTATCTCTTTCAATTGATCCGTTCATTCTCTTGCCTCCAAAACTATTGGCCCTCTCATAATCCTCATTTACCCTTCCCTTTTTATCTCCTACATTATTCTCCATCCGCAGCCTTGAACGACCTTGAAGACCCTCTTTCTTTCTGTCCATCAATTCTTTTGCACTTCTTAGCTTAGCTTGAGCTTGTTCCACTGCATCTTTCATAGCCGCAGCATCTGCAGCAGCAGATGAACTTGCATCTATCTCAACGTCAAAGTAAGGTGGTGACTGGTCACCTGTCATCCGTTCAAACGCATAGCTCTTAGACGTTTTGAGTTTCAAATTGGAACTGCCAGTATCTCCCTTCTTTGACGTTAAAGCAGGTGGTGGCCTCGAGGGTGGTGGTAAGTGGGAAGGCTGAGTTTTAAGGCTGACACCAGACACAGAAAGAACTGGTCTAGTCCCTACAGGATAAGCCTTCTGATCTCCTACAAGATTACTTACATCACATCCATATCTTTCTGTGCCACAAACACTATCTAGCGGTTGTGAAAGAGATTTCTTAAGCCGTTTCCCTTCAGCAACTCCACCAAAATCCTTACTTGCACAACGATCGTTGTTAGCCAGTGAAAACGATTTCTCATTTTCCATGTTACTTGGGAGTGCCTGGTTATCTAATACAGTAGACCCAGGGAGATCAAGAAACTGAGAATCATTTTCCATGTCTTTCTCTGCTTCCATATTAGGCTCATTATGCAATTTCACACTAAACAATTGGCTGGCATCTGCATTGGGCACGTGCTGATTCGTCTCCAGAGAGGCATAAGGATCTGATTCATCCGACGGTGATTCACTTTGAACCGGAGTCCTACCACATATGAACAAGACAGCATTTTGCATGATTAAGATTATTCTAACTTACATTATCATTTGTGGCAATTCACAAAAAAGCATGTGTGACAATATGCAGAAGATTCAAGCACAGTTGCACAAACATTTTTTGACAAAAATAGTTGCATTCATTTATGAACATAATAACTGAGCATGCATCCAAACACACATAAGTTCACACTTATCATTTGTTCTTCTATCAACTATCTCAAATGAGACGCATCAAGTTATATGAATGCACATACAGTTCATTACAATTATAACTTTAAACATGAGCTAATACATATACTGCTTGAACTAAAAGAATAATATCCTAATTAAGGGGGCATTTACTAAACGATTACAGGATGTCACTTACTATATCTTGTGAACATGGCAAGGCCGAGAATCTTACCCGGTAAGAGGCGACATAAGGACCTAGAGTCTTACCCGGTAAGAGGCGACATAAGGACCGAGAGTCTTACCCGGTAAGCGAGTGAAAAGGACTCTTGCCCCGTAAGCATTTACCAGGTAAAAGGGATTACCAACAATCAATTTTGAAGGCCACATTTTTTACCGAAAACGCAAGCAAGGGGGTGACTCTTGCCGGTAAACGCTTGGTAAACGATCCATAAGGATAAGCTAAAGTTATTTGCTTTATGGCCAACTTAAACATGAATTGAGCTGCAAATAACAATACATATCTGATCATAAAAATGATCTTAAATTCGAAAATGTGCATATACTGCTTAGAACTGTGGGGAAAAAAGGGTCCAATGGAAGTCACCTCACTGGTCACTAGGTGAAATAACAGAGCTTAAATACCAACTCGGCCCCTACCTCCTACCCCTACCCCTACCCCCAGGAATCAACCCGATATGTGGCAGACTGTCACTCAGTACGCACACTAATGACTTCCATAATTCGTAGAGCCTATTTCCTAGCAAGCACAGGGAATTTGTTTTTCAACAAGGTAAGATCAACAGTGTTGATTCATTACTTTATCAGAAACTTCCTTGTGAAGCATTCATTGATGAATGAGTCAAAGACAACCTATCTTGAAGCACACGATGAATCTGCAAAAATACTTCTACAGTCGAACAATTTTTTTACAGACGAACACACCAGCAGGAAATGAGAAAACAAATCAGATGATTATATTTTGCATATGTGACTTAAAACATGCCAATGACAGTAAACAATTCAACAAGCAAAACAATAAAAATATATATAAAAGTTATTGTCTGTACCAAACATCATCCGAGGAATCATCATCTCCAACTTTCGAGCTATTAAACAATTCTTCATATGAAACCGCAAAATCAAGGCCGTTAAAACCTCCGAAAACTTCAGAGTAATCAAGCTTGGAGCTCTGTACATCAAACCAAACGTCGTCACACTCTTCGGAGGGCGGCGGAAGATCTAGAACAGGAATTGAAGAGCCTCGGGAAGCGTGAAAGCCCTGAAAAATCTCAGTGTAGTCCTCAAGGCGAGGAGGAAGAGTCGTAGCTCCAAACTTGGGTGGGCCACCAAATACATCATCATAGACCGTCTTATTCCGCGCTCCGAAACCACCACCACCGCCACCACCATTGTCTCTGTAACCCTTCATGAGACCAGAGAAGGTCCGTATACACTCCTCCCTAGGGTTTCACTGTTGGTACAGCTCTCTCTCTCTCTCTCACACGTCCACGCACTGGAAGGTGTGGCTTCGCTTTTGCTTTCACTGTGGGAAGGAAGAAGGGGTGTTTCAGTTGGAGGAGGTAGACGGGACGAGAGGGCAAAATGGGAAATACGGAAAATTCTGAAATTGCAGCTGAAGGGCCTCTCTTTCTTTTTGGACTTATGGACAAAAATATAAAACTTGAGCCCCTCAAAAATAATTTTTTTTTTTTTTGTATTTTCCAGATAAAATAAAATAAAATTTTGGAATGATGTGAATACAGAATTTTATAAGGGCTGAACAGGAGCGGGAGAGATGCATTCCGGTGATTGCAACCACATCATAAGGTTCTCCATCATTTTTTCCTGTTTTAAACTTACTTTTTCTTTTGGGTCCCACAAAATATAGTTTTTATTTTTTCAAATAATGAAATTAGACTTTACTTTCAAATTAAATGTATATGGATTTATTTCCATTCACTCTAGGGTGATTTATCTAAATGCTTACTCGATAAGTGTTTAATATGATGAGTCAATACTATAATTTATTTTATTGGGTAAGATTGTAATACGTCAAAACGTATTTTATGTAACAATTTACCTGGTAAGCGTTTATTCGGGTAAGAGTCGTCACCCTCACTTACCGAGTAAGACTCTTCATCCTTATCGTCACTCTTACCGGGTAAGATTTTTGGCCCTTGTCATGTTCATTCGATAGGAAAAAATACCCGGTAAGTACTTATCAGGTAAGCATTTAGTAAACGGCCCCTTAGCCAAAATCATGTTGTTATTATATTAAGAAAGGTTTCAAATTTTGTTAAGGTATATATATATATATATATATATATAGGGGAGCGATCAAATGCAAACCACTCAATTTGTACAAACCGTGCAAACCTCATTCAACCAATCATAATTTTTCATTTTGTTCATTTTTTTGTAATTATGAGAGGTTGATTAATCATTTTTATTGTGAAGGGTGTTAATCATAGATATTATCATCTTCATTATTTTAATTTTTAGAGAAATACATGAAACAGTTTCATTAAGTATTATATGAAACAATTTCACAACCATATATGAAACAACTTTATCAAAAAAAGTATTATGTGAAACAATTTCACAAGATTAAACAATTTCATGAAAAAATTTCATAAGATTAAACAATGAAATCGACGGATGAAGGTGGTTTGCACGRTTTACACAAATGAGGGCGGTTTTTATTTGATCACTCCTCTATATATATATATATATATATATATATATATATATAGGGAACGTCTGAATTTTGTGTAATAAAACATGATATCAAGTGTTCTGTGGCTAAAGTTTTTGAAGACGATCACGTAATGGTGTAGTATAATTATGATTCTTATGTGCGTTATTCTCGGTTTGCTTGAAGAATTTTGTTAGCATTATTTTGTGGTCCATTCTTGGTAACTGATGACACAAACAACAACGCAAATTCTCGATTGGAATCATTGCGATTTGAAACTCAATAGCAAAAAATTTAAATGTTAAATAGTGTTTGACGAAATCTTGGATTTTAGTAAGAATAATCGATATTGTTTTATAAAATGCAAATCTTCTCATTTTCATTGCAATGAGAGTCATGCAAAACGAAACCAGTGTCTTGAAAGGAGACAATAGATTCAGTGCTCTCGAATCTCATTTTAAAAATGGATTAAAGGGGGCACGAATGGTTGGTGTTACCTTGCTCGATAATTTAACTCAGGGGCCATTTACTCAAATGTTTACCCGGTAAGTGCTTACTAATAGAAGTCAACATTATAATTTATTTAGATGTGTAAGATTTTAGTACATTAAAGCATATCTAATGCAACAATTTACTAGGTAAGCGCTTACCTGGGTAAGAGTCGTCATCCTCAATTACCGGGTAAGACTCTCCATTCTTCTCATCGTTCTTATCCGGTAAGATTCTTGGCTCTTCTCATGTTCATCTAATGAATAAATTTATGCGTTAAGCACTTACCAATTAAGTGTTTAATAAACCGCTTCTCACTCTCTTCAGATCTCGCCATACTTTTTCATGGACCTCTATGGTCCATTTGGAACAGTAGATGAAGAGAGGCTATAGAGGATAAAATGACAAAAATACCCCTAAATATTTAAAGAAGATTTACTAATATACTTGGCTTCATATATCAAACCAACGTCCAACCAATTATTTTGGATTAATTAGGACCCGTTTGGTTTGACAGACTACTTTTAAATAATTTAAATTTCGTAGAAAATTTTGAAAATGAAAATATTTGGAATATTTAGGGGCCGCTTACCAAATGTTTATGCAGGTAAGCGCTTACCGAGTTACATTATCTTACCGAATCAATATGGTAAGGACCAAAAATCTTACCCGGTAAGAGCGAAGGCAGGGACTAAGAATTTTACTCAGTAAGTGATGACGACAACTCTTATCACGGTTAGCAATTACCGAGTAAATTGTTACATACGGTACCATTTTTATGAACTAAAATCCTACCCAGTAAGTAATTGATAGTATTGAATTTTGTCGATAAGCACTTACCCCAATAAATGTTGGTAAACAACTTCTTAGTATGTTTGATTTGTAGGATTTGACGGATGAACAAAATAACAAAATTTTCACTTTCCAAATCTGATTTTTGGAGTGTTTGTCTGATTTGATTTATTGATTAATATATATTTATATCACAACGTATTTGTTTCATATATATATTCGGTTTACAATTTTTTTACATGTACTTTTTGTTTCACAAACATGTCAAAAAAATTGCATTGTCAACCGAGTACATGTGAAACAAACACATTGTAAAACAAATATATATTAATCAATACATTAAATTATAACCATAGATGAAAAATAATCATATGAAAAATACATAATGCAGTGGTTTTTAAATACTCATTTCATTCCACAAATACACAACTAGTATATAGAGGCAAACCAATAAAGAAAATAAAATGACAACACATTAAGAAATGTAAAAAATAAAATTCAAACACTACGTAGGACTATTTATATCAAAGACGAGAGATCCTACATATGTTATATTCACGAGTAGGTTGGACCACGATGTTTGTTTGTGGCTATAAGAGTGTCGGTTTTTATCTGAGTTTGTGACTGTAAGAGCATCTCCAATAACTACTTTAAAATTTCACTAAAATAGAGTAATATATTTTTCTCCTCTGTACTGATTTTTGAGAGGCTTATTCCGTCATATATACATTATTGTTTGATATTAACTTTATGATATAAAAAGTGACTTGTTCAATAAAACTTCTAAAGTGTGGTTTTATACCGAAAGCCAAGTTTTTTTTTTTTTCCAAATTTATCCCTCCTAATTAAAAAACATGCTTCTTTCATTTATGATAACTTTCTCAAACAAAAACCTTCTAACGCAAAGGGAAGTTGTGGATGGGTCGACAAGCGTTAAACCCTTGAAGGACAATGAATCTACAAGCGTAACACTCAGAAAATTAAGAGAAAACTCTTTAAACTAGAAATAAAACTCTAAAAAAGCTTAATTTATTAATCAATAACCAAAAATGTAATGAAAACAATGAATCCTATTTATAGATTAAAGAGTCGCTTGCCAAACACTTATTCGGTAAGTGCTTACCGGTAAAATATAACACTATTATTTACTTACCGAGTAAGATTTTAGTCCATCAAAACCACATCGTATGCAACAATTTACCCGGTAAGCGCTTACCGTGGTAAGAGTCGTCGTTCTCACTTACCGGATAAGATTCGGTGTCCTTGTCTCGCTCTTACCGTGTAAAATTCTTGGTCCTTACATATTCATCCGGTGCGGTAATGTGACTTGGTAAACATTTACCCGTGTAAGTGTTTGGTAAACGGCCCCTAAACTAACTATGAAATTAAATTCAAATATAAGATCCTAATCATAAACCAACTAGGAAAGAAAATAACATAATAACTAAAGATGCTACTAGAATGATAAGGAAACCTAAACTACTTTAAAAAAAACAAATAAATAATAATTAGATAAACAAATAATAATCCTAAATTAACTATAATTAACATAATTAAATAAACAAATGAATGCAATCTACGTATGACTTGTCAAGTCGTACCTGTGACTTGGGAAGCGATCCAACTCGTGGGGAGTTGTGTAAGTGACTGTGTTCTAGCTTTTTATCCTGTTTTTTAGGCTTCTTTCGAACTCGTTTTCTTCTTTTCTAAAGATCTGCAGACCCTCCCCCCCCCCCCCCCCATCACCTGAAAAGAACTCAACCTCGAGATCACTTAAAAATCAACATCATCTGATTTTTTATGTAACTTCGAATCATATTACATTCTTGTCCTCGGTACATTTGGATCCACAACTCAACCTTCAAAATTCAAAAAGGTTTCAAGTTCCAAAGGATATTGTCCCGGCTGCCTTCATACAAATGATCTGAGCCTTGGATGTTGGAATAATGGAAGCATCATCTTCAGGATCATCGTTCTTGACTTCTTGTGACAAGGGTTTCAATGGCTTGGGAATTTCTTCTATTGGATCTCTATCGTGATCGCTTTCTTTGACCGCTAATTCAAAATCTGTTGTCGGCTCTTTGGGAACAGTACAGATTTCTTGTTGTGGTTATGTCATAACGAGGAAAGCTTTACCTTTGATCTTGTTGGGCAAGTCTTCGTCTTTTTTTTGGCGGTTTTTTTTAGGTACGTGCGGTTGTTTGACTTGAAAATAAACTAAAATGATAATACAGTGGACTTGGTTGCCGTTGCGTGGAACCCCAACTTGATTATTTCTTCTGTGTTTTCGCTGGTGGTTATCGTTTTGTTAAGGGAGTTGGGACAACCACTATTAGATTAGCAAGTGTTGTGGTACAACCGCAGTCATATATGCCATATCTACTCTGGTAGCGAGTCGATCGACCATTGTTAATAAAAGAGAGGAGCAGCCTGTTTTGATACCAAGCTGCAGAGGAAATCGCATAAGCGATTGTGTTCCAACCTTTGATCCTGTCTTTCTAGACTTCTTTCAAGTTCGTTTTCTTATTTTCCAAAAATCTACGAAAACTACCAATTAATCTCTTATTCTCTCCGTCGA